AAAGTCAACTCAAAATCGATTAAAGAATTAAATATACACCCTGAAACAATAAAACTTCTTATTGAAGAAGGCTGTTTTACTGGGACTCTCAGTTGCAAGATACAGAAATCCAACTTGAACCAGCTTAAGCAAAAAGGAATTTCTCATGTGTGTAAACTGCAGACAGGGTAGGGGCAGAACCAGGCCTGAGAACAACAGGACTGAAGAATTTAAACATCCTCAGGTGTTTGCCTTTTCTTCCTTTTCTCTCATCTTCATAGTCTGTCTTTTTGGATTGGCTTTATTTACTCAGAAGACTGGAATCATAGCCACTTGCAGCTCTGGGCATTCTTTCATACAAGCACTTGAAAACAAAATTTCCTGCCAGTTCCAATTAGAAGAAAGCCTGTGGCCAGGGGCAAGTTCTGTAACCAGAAAGCTTGTGTGGGCAAGTGTTGAGCAGTCAAAATAATCATCACAAGTCGGGAGTGGCTTGAATGAAATTAGGGAGGCCTCTGTTTAGTGATCTGTGAGGACTGGTGTGGCAACAAGGTGGTTAAGGAAGACCTATGGCTTATTGCTCACCCTGCCTTCATTAGCTGCACATCTCTGAAAAAAGTGTCTTCTGTTCCTCATCTCCAAGGTTACTGTCTGCTCTCTGGGCACTAGAAGGTTTCAGGGTAGACCAAGTGAGTTCAGGACACAGATGTGAGATACTCCACCCCATCTTCACCTCCATGCTACTTAACAGAAGTGGACATCTTCTTGAGCAGGAATTATTACATTTCAGAAGGTGCACAACACAGCATAGTGCTCCCAGGCACTCAATAGATGTTAATTTATTGATAAGAGAAACAAAATAAAGATAGCACAAACTAACTGCCCATTTCTCTTTATCAAATGCTTTGGGTCTTCACTGACACTAAGACAGCCTTCAGAATGTTCTTGTAGGCAACTCATTTTGTTAATTAACCAACAAGCTTAAAGGAGTCGAAATCACTTTCCCATGTAAACAGCCTCATTTCCACTGCTCTTGCTCACATTACCTTTCAGTTTCTTCTCTATACAAAGTGAAAAAGCAAGGAATGTACATGTCCAAACAATCAAACCTTTTCACTTGAACAGAGTTCATCATAACTGATGTGAAGAGACTGAACTCCCCAAAAACATTTTTGGCAGCAAACTCAGACTGAAAAAGTCTCTCATCTCTATTCCTGTTCTGCACACTAAAACCCTATTTTCTAGATTCCATGTCATGATCAGGGTCTCAAAAACCTTAACCCTGCTGAATCACCTCAAAAAAAAATAATGATAATAATAATAATAATCCATGATTATCTGCATTTGTGAAAACTAGATATTTTCATGTCAAATGATAAAGTACATGGTTGTAAGTTCTCAAGTCAACAGTAATCTATGGCATAAATTGAAGAAATGGAAAAACCACAAAGTTCACCTTTCTCTCTGTTTTCCAGGATACAGTCATTAAGACAGATATGACCATTCTTGGTGACATGGTCTATAGGCTACATAATGACCCAAATAACCTTCATTGTGTATGAACTGTATTGAGACATTCTATTATAAAGAGAGCAGGGCATGGAAGACATGACGTAATTGGTCTTAGTTAAAATTACATTTTTATACACTGACTTTTTATTAAGAAATTTCCAGGGGAGAAGAATGATTTCTGAGCTATCTTTATGAAGCAGCATTGAAAATCCTGTCCTAAAATTGTCAGAACAAGTTTTATTTCACAGAATAATCTACCCAGTGCAGCCAAGTAAAGATAGCAGTGGCAGCCAAATAACACTGCAAATCAACTTCATTTTTATTCTGGAGAAATACACATATGTTAGAGTATTAAATCCAAAGACAATGTATCTGTGAATTTTTTTAAAAAATAGAAAAGTAAAAGAAAGTTCTAGTCTTCAAAAAAAGTGTTAGGAAACTTTTTTTTCCACATTTTTTGCACCACTGCAACAGCATAGTACACATTTATCATCTATCCTAGAGAAAGATGTACTGGAAAATTGTAGCCAAACTATGACATATTGTATAGTACATTGTGAATCCCTGATTATAAAAAAGGATGAACAACATGGAAATTTACAAAGAATTCCAATGTTCTTATGGTTAAAGAGAAGTGTTAAGTAATTATCAAGTGGGTGCATTCTTTTTCTGTGGCCTCCCCTGTTCCCTATCAATGTGCTTCTTTCTGTGGGACCTGCTTCCCCCCGCATGACTCCAGAGTAATCCTTTCAGATGTCAGTTGGTTCTTGCTTTAGTGGGACATCTTCCAGTAACATTTGTATTTGGAGACCAGTAGAATGATGGCTTGCTTTTCTCTCTCCTAGTCCACTTATATCCAAGGATACCTCAACTGGTCAGAGTCCTGGGCTCTGTGGGCTTTTCCCTAGGCTGGGCCTTCTCATTGCATGTGCTTCTGTGTGTCCCCAGTTAGCTTCTACCTCACCCTACACCATAGTCTTTTGCTACAAAGATTGAGCAGGACTGAATGGGTGGAGCTTTAACTGCCACTTTTCAAAGATTGCCAGTACTTTTATACCAGCTTGGAGGCCATCACAGTTGTCACTTTTTATATTTTCCAGTTCATTGTTCATGAATTGTAATGAGACAGTTACATAAAAAAATAGAAAATGTACATAGAGTTTCTTTTCTGACAGATCTAAGCTTTTAAGAATGCTATTAGTTGGATGTTTTCAGACTAATTTGCAATTAGGTATTCAAAAATGACTCATGTGTCCACATAATAGAGAACCCTACAACCAAACACTGAGACCTCTGTCTAGTGTTCACAACTGAAAGCATATTGACAATTTTTTAAAATCCTGTCTAATGATGTGAAGACCAACACCTTTTGTTTTTGTTTTCTAACCCACTTTAGGTCTTGTTTAGAAAGAGTGCACGTTTTCTCTGCTTAACCCTCTTGTGTGTCACAAAGTAGCTTTGCTTTAGGTTGCTGGGGTGTGCTTATGGCCAAGTCTGAAGGGTGGTTCTAGAGTAGAAGAGGGGCCCCTGTCTCACCACATTCAACATATCTGAGGTTGTGGCACTCACACCCAGAGGACTTGAGTTTTTTAGAATATTTTTGGAGACAGCACTTAGTAAAGCACTTAAGAACCAAAAAACTCAGTTCTATGAAATTTAGCACAATGCACAAGCACGAGGTAATGACCAAGAAGAAGATGAAGATTGTTTTTTCAGTGGGTTTGGAGATGAAGCAGTCCACAGTGTTGGGACAAGGCTTCAAATCACACTTCATAAGGTAGGGAATGCTAAAACCATCGTACAGTTTGTAAAATAAAACAAGGAATCCAATTTCAAAACCAGTTTTAACAATAAGACTAATAACATAAGTGTACCATAGGCCCCCATCCATTGCACCTGGGCTGGCATAGAGTTTCTTTCTGTATCCTTTCTCTCTATCCTCACAATAGGCTACATGTAGAACCACCAGAAGCGAAGGCGTGGAGACCATGATAAGCTGTAAGGCCCAAAGTCTGACTTGGGAGATGGGGAAGAAGTAGTCAAAACACACATTTTCACAACCAGGCTGTCTAATGTTGCACTCAAACTCTTCCTGCTCATCCTTCCACACATGTTCTGCAGCCACCATGTAGACCAGCAAACGGAAGATGAACACGACAGCTAGCCAAACACGCCCAACTCCTGTTGAGTATTTATTTACTCCACTTAGGAGGTCTCTGAGGAACATCCAACTCATGACTAAAGCTTGAATGAAGACAAGATCTGCAAAAGAAAACAATGTCACCATGATTCATTTATTTCTATTCCATTGATCATTTGTCCTGTTTTATTATAATTGTTATAATCTCTGCATTATAACAATTCTGGATGTTGATGGCTCTTTAAGAATCCCACTTGATATGCTCACTTTCATACAAGGAGATGATACGTCTGGTCCATGGACATAACTGATCACATGCCCACTTTAATTTGCAATTTGCTTGGTCATCCTGTACACACACACTGCCTCATTTTCAAACAATTCTGTAGCTGGCAAAAATCTTTTCAGTTTATTGCTTCCTTCTAAAGATGGATGGGTTATGTTACTGATACAGAAAGAATTAGATATGAATCTCAAGGTGACCCTGGTGTCTGTCCTTCACATGCCAGGTTCTTGAATGTAGTCTCTATTAACTTTCTCTAATATGTTAATGCCCCTGCCCAGTCCTTAAGGGTTATTCCCTCCTCCTACCTCCTCCTATTTATCATGTCCCACGCCAGCGGATGAGCTTGCCTACAGTTTGGTAGTGCGAAGTGAAGATCTCCAGTATGAACTTTCTCAAACTCTTTCTCCCTCACCCTGCAGACTGACTTACATCCACACCCATCTTACCTTCTTTACCCAGTTTGGAGGAAGAGTTCCTTGTCTTCTTGCCTCAAAATAATCATTCCAACTCCACATCCCGTTTGTGATCTGTCTTCCCTGTCCTATATTTTGTATTTTAGTCTCCACTGTACCTTTCCTCTCAGCATACAAATATGCTTAAATGTTGCCTAAATTTAGTGCGGGGGGAGGTAGAATTGTACTAGCTTATCTTTTTTTGTTATTGAAGCATAATTGATTGTACAGATTTTGGGGGTATGATGCTGACTGCCATCACCTGTGTACAACGTACGTTGATTGAGTCAATATTATTAGCATATTCATTATTGCAAATCATACTTATTCTTTATGTCCTTTATCCAATCTCTCCCCATCCCCTCTTCCTCCCCACTCCCACCTCTAATAACTATAGATTTGTTCTCTTCTGAAAGACACGTGCATACTCTATTGATTTGTTGCCTAGATGATCTGTCCACTGCTGAGACAGGGGTGTTCAGGTCCCCACTATCATCAGAGAGCGGATTCTTCTTCTTCAGTTACTCTGGAGTGTACTCTTCTTTTTTTTTTTTTTTTTTGGTTTGTTTGTTTGTTTGTTTTTGGTCTTGGCTGGTGGTTCTCCTTGTGTCAGTGCAGTTGAGTGTCTGGCGGGCCACCTGCAGAGTGGATGTGGCTACTGCTGTGGCATCCAGCTGCTTTTGCGGCAGCCATGGCTATTGCCGTGGCTGTGGTGGGCCACAGGCATGGAAATGGCGTTTTTGGTGTGTTTCTTACCAGGTTGTAGGCGGGTTTGGCATCCCCTGGTGCCATCGTCATAGCTTATCTTTCTGACACCCTCTCTTCCTTTATCCCCTATTTCTACTTCCTCAACTGTTATCTGCTCAACTCACTGAGTAGTTTTCCTGCTCACCATTGTTCTTAACTTTTCATGCTAAAGTTAGCAGTGCTACTCAACTACCAAAACTTCTGGACACTTTGGATCTCATTTAGTTTTTCTGTGACATTTGGCACCATTGCCTACACATGTGTTCTTGAAACTCAGCCATGACTTCTGTCCTCCTCTACCTCCCCTCCTGCTGCTCTGCTCCTCTTGATGGCTCCATCTTAGTTTTCTTTGTCCAGTTCTTACAAGTTCTGTCCTCTGCTCTTTTCTCATTCCACATGTTCTCCCTGGAAAATCACATTCATTTTGTAGATTCAACTACTGCTTTCAGGTTCCTGACTATCAAATCTTTAGCTCCTCTCCCAACCTCCGTATCTCACTGCCTCCTGAATATCATCTAAGCATTCCACAGGCATCTCAAACTTGGTATGTCTGCAGCTGAATGTATCATCTTTCCTGCTCTTTGACTTCATTATCTTGTTGAATGCATCACCAACAGTCAAGCACCCAAGTCAGAAATCTCATATTTATCCAAGACTCCTCTCATGACTCTTTTAAAATTGCTTACCAAGTTCTTCTGATTCCTCCTAAATATCTCTTAAACTTACCTCCAAGTCACTGCTGACATCTTTCTTACCTATACAACCCTCCACTGCTTTGTATTTCTAGTGTCATCATCCTCTCCCTTCCCCTCCTAGTACATTCTCAAGGCTATTTAATTCTCTTACACATCTCTCCATCCCTTTTGCTCTCTCCCCTATAAAAGCTATCATTTTCTTGGCACTGCCAGCTTCCACCTTGTCTTACAATTGACCTCTCTGGGTGGGCTCTGCTTTTATTTGTTAGAACCAGCACTCTGTTCAGTGCTTTTGGGTTGGTCTCTCACAACCACTCTGAAAGGTAGTTTTTGGTTCTTGTCTGTTTGTTTTATGGTGGTGGTTGTTTTGTTCTTTCAAATGAGAAAGCAGACTCTGAGAAATAAAGCCTCTCTTGTGAGGTCACAAAGTAAGATGCCCAGCAGGATTCAAGTCCGATTTCCATTACTCTAGAATAAGGTTTCTCAACACTACCACCATTGATATTTTGGGATGGATAATTCTTTGTTTCAGCAGCTGTCCTGTGCATTGGAGGACGTTTAGCAGTGTCCCTGGCCTCTAGCAGCTAGATGCCAGTAGCATCCCATCACACACCACCATTTGTGACAACCAAAAATTTCTCCAGAATTTCCAAATATACCCTGGGGACAGAAGGCAAAATCTCCCTAGCTGAGAACCACTGCATTTAACTTCTTACATAACCGGTAAATGAGAGCTAGAGCTCCAAGTACGCCACTAATTTAATTTGTGATTTCTCAGGTTAAAACCTTGCCTTTTCAGATCCCATTTCATATTACAAAAATTAATTACTACTTATTTTCTTCATAGACTCAACCAAAAGAGTATCATGGAAATGGTGGTATGAGAGGAACCAGGGAGTTAAAAAAAATTGGGATATTGTTATAACAGCACACCTGTCGGAGCACATCCCATTATCTCTTAGAGAAGGAACAATGTGGAGCAAGCCCACACACCGTGCCCTAAGAAGTAGAATGAAGGTTGAGAGGTATTTTCAGAGAAAGCAAAGATACATGTACACAATACTCTATTCAGCAGGGAACAGATGCTTCAATGTCCTTATACTCAGGACACAAACAAAATTGTATTAAATAAAAAGGATTCTTAAGTCTACTTGAAAGGTTAATGTCTTTATGAATTATTAAAACAAAGCTCCAAAGATTAAAAGAAAAAAAAAAAGGTATTATGTTTCCCTGTGAGCTATGTCATTGGGCATCTCTTCATATTACTCAAGGGGATATTTATATAATATTACAAAACACCTGAAAGTTGCCTGTTGGGCATTTTAGAGAAGGAAAGAAGGTAAGATTGTATCCAGTTGCTAAAAGAAAAGCAGTAAGAAAGCAACTAATCTTCAAATAGAATGAGAGGACTGATGTCATCAGATGTCAGAATTATGACTTTCTTTTGATTGATAGTTGCCCATCCTATTTTCTGATTCTTTGCTGATGGAAAGACAATGGCTTTTCTCATGGAGGAGAGGTATTCAAATGTTAGTTCACTTTCTGCCGTTGTTGTGCACGTTTAACTCAGGTGGTTTAGCGTGGTGGACAAAAGCCTGAGTGGTGTTGTGCTTCCTGGGTTCAAGCTCAGCTGTGATGGGAATGGTGCCTACCTCATGGGGCTTGTGAGGCCTTCATGAGTTAAAATGTGTAAAGCCCCCAGAACAGGGTCTGACACATGGCAAGTGTTCAATAAGCATTATCGTTACCATTTTCTTATTTTCCCATTGAAAACTTTTTCTTGGTGTCAAAGTGAAGTCTTTCCATTTCATAAATTTAATACACATTATTTAATTACACATAGCTTAATGTACATTAAAATTTTTAGTGCAAGTGAAATACATTTTTCTCTATTCTTTTCCTGTGAAGGTGAACAGTCATCAGGAATCTCAACTTAATAGACCTTTAAGCATCTGAAAACAGTTATTGTTTAATGGTTATAGAGTTTCTGTTTGGGATGGTGAAAATTTTGAAAATAGATACTTGTGATAGGTGTGCAACACTGTGAATGTAATTAATGGCACCAAACTGTACACTTAAAAATGATTAAGATGGCAAATTTTATGTTTATATATATATAACCACAATAAAAAGAGTTCAAAAAAAGTGGGTGCGAGAAAGCCTACTTAAAATACAAGGAGACAATAGGGGCTCATATAACCTGAACATTTAAAGAGAACAGCTTATTTTGGGAGTAGAAATAGGAACAAAGGGAAGAACAACAAATATTAATAATGCTCATCAATGAATAAATCTCTTATGAATGATTTTATTTTTTCATGATATTCTGCTTTACCCATATTTTTTACAATAAGAATACACAAAATTAAATATGAAAAAAAATAAAACTAATAAAAAAGAAACACTAAGAAATCAGAGTCATCACTCCTTTATATCTGTGTATTTGTTTTTGTAACAATTGAGTAAGGCTCTTTACAGAATAAATGTTTACAAATCAAGCCAATCAATGTACATCTGAAAGGTTACCGTGTAGGAAAACTGTATGGAAAATCCTTTTAAATTTTTCTTTCTTCTACATCCATGCCAATGACTCCCCAAGTATGTATGTCCAGTCCAGACCTCTCATCCCTGAGCTCCCACTGCCTCATCATCTCCACTAGGATGTCATCTCATAAACTTAGAATATCCAAAAGTGAGCTGTTGCTGGTACTTACTCCATTTTCAACTTCCCCCAAACACTGCCCCTTCTCCAGTGCATTCTGCCTCAGGAAGTTGCACCACCATTCACCCAAGTATTGAAGCCAGAAACTTGGAAGTTACTCACCCTTCTCTCTGCCCTAAACCTCAGATCCAATCTACATTCAAGGTCAAAGTTTTTACCTTTGAAATATATCCCCAAAGTTTTTACTCTTTTGA